CTCAAACAATCGCCGGCCAAATACATTCTCGAATATAACATAACTACGCACGAGTGTGAATGTACTCCCTATGTTGAAATGAACTTAACGCGCGTACTTGATGTTCGAATTTCTACGCTCTATTATCCCCCCTCCTTCCGAGTCCCTTTGCCATTATTTCGATAGAAATTTTTAAAATATTTGCAAAGAATACTCGTTCGTTAAGACAGTGAGAAAGTAAAAAGACACTACTGGAAAAAGATTATTTCAAGACAAGCGTTTATAACGTAGAGAAATACATTGTTGTTTCACAAGTCTGATTAATCGGTAAGTTTGTAAAAGCTGTAATGGAAAGAATAAATGCTGTCACTTGTAAAGTATATTTTCTAGCTAACTTTCATTCTTTTGCAAAAATAACACACTGAACGTTTCGAAAACCCGAAAAAACAACGTAAAGCATGAGTTATGTAAAACACTATATAAACAAACTACTAAGCTACGAGTACCGAGCTCGTAGAATTTGTGGCCATGGATAAATATTATCATTCATTACCTATATTTGGCATATAGGTAATAATGCTGACAAATCAAAGAACATTTTGCGGATACTGTTGAGACGAAGTTGAACACAGTTGTGAGCACGATTATAAATTGATCTTCGTTGTATAGCAGAAGTTGTTGGATTATAATTGTTCGTATGTTATTTAATAGTAGTCATCGTTAATGATACGCAAATTAATTTTTAATATTTACAATGTGAAAATATCTTATAGATTGTAGAAAAAGAATAATTATTTTGACTATAATGCATAACTTACTACAGCATAGCATGTAGATAATTTAATTTTAATATGAAACACTAATAAATTTCAATTAATAATTTTAGTGTAAAACATCAATAAACTATAATTATAAAAGTTTTATATTCAGTATTGCTATCTAAATTGACATTATATAAATTAATTTTCTTACATCGCAACTTATAAATAGTAAAAACAATTTTTTATATTTAATTAATAAAATAAAATTAAGCATATTTGCTCTTAGAATTTTGTTGACAATGATTATTTATTTACAAATAGAATTTACTATTTTCTATTCACTTCAACACTTAATTTATATTTATTAATAAGATTAAGTTCGATAACTTTCTGTATTACTTATGCCGCTTATCATATATTATATTTCTTTAATCTAAAAGAATAATTACGATGAGAGGAAAAAATGTATAGTTTCGCGCATATTATCTATTAAATTTTGAAAATGCATTTATTGTAGGTCATATTATGCATTCAAAATATGAAATACAATAGGATAATTTTTCTTTTATTAAATTGTAATTTATATTATATTGTGTAATTTGTATTATATTTTATTATTCTGTTGTATTTGTATAATACGTAATCTGTTCTTTTATTATATTCCATTTATAATTAAAATCATTAAATCAAAATCAATTTTTAATGAAAAACATATTTTTATTAAAGGAGCACTTTTCAAGATATTGTTAAGTTTAAAAATTATAAAATTATCTGAAAATCACTAAATAAAATTAGAAAATTACTAAATAATCAAAATTTAAAATCCTAAAATATTATTATTCATTTTCAAATTTGAGAATCCAAATTTTCTAAATCTATTTCTAATTTAAAATAGAAACTTTATAATATTGTCTCTAGTTACGATATTTGTTTGAAACTTGCAAGATTATATCTTCATTTTTTGTGATTCCTATAAGACCTAATTGCAGTTCTTCTCTAGAATATAATAAATTAAAATATCAATTCGTAAGTTTAGATAGATCACTAACATTGTTTTCTCTTTAGAGAACAAGATAGTAATTTTTACTTTATTATTTTTATCAACTTAAAATTACAAAATTTAATTTAGTTTTAAAAAGGTACTGCATACTATAATAGTTGAAGGAATTTCATTTTAAGTTAAATTTACGTGAAAGTTTATGGAATAATTAAACACGTTTTATAATTTTTAATATATCGAGCTGTGAGATAAGAGCTAAATTTATGTAGTTAAACTGAATATATTTATTTAAAAGAAATTCTGAAAGTATCGGAAAACTGAATTAATTATCTATGATTGTTGACGTATATTGCATGAACGTATCAACAATAAGTTCTATTCCATTACATTTTATATATATTTTACACCATTTGGACATAATTGTGGATACAATACACTGATCTTAATGATATCAACAACCATATTCATAACGCTAAACAATACTTGATTATGAATTTACATGGATATTTTCCAAATGCTATATAAATTGAAAATAAGAAAATATCTTAAATATAATAAATAAAGAATAACTAAAGATATATTCATTTAAATTAGAAAATACTATTTGCCCTACATTGATTTATTAAAATCGTATGAATAAACATTTATACAATGTAAACAAATTTAATTCAGATAATTTTGTTTAGAAAAGTAACTTAATAAATAATTATAATGATACTATACATTGGCAAAAGTATGCTACTGCACGTAAAATTTATAAATATAAAGTAATATTATACGCAAGTAAATTTACCTACAAAATCTTACATGAAAAGCTTATAAGCATTGATATTTTTGTATGTTAGCGCCTTTACAGGGGATCCTAAATCTAAAGCCACACAATAAACTCTAAAAAATAAACTACCGTATAATCGCGCTGAATCCATCTCACCGAAATTTCGCTTGTACTGTTTTACATTTAAAAATGCATGCAAATTCTGGCGGCTGGTGTTTTGAGAATGGCTTTCTTCTGAAAATATTATCTTGTCGTCAGAGAAAAAATAAAAGATATAAGAAGGGTGGGAAGAAATTGCAAGAGGAAGAGAGAAAAACACCCTTTTCCTCTATATACATAAGAAATTCGTAAGAATATGCATGAAGATAGTTTTTCTAGTTTCTTTGTACAAGAAAAACTCATTCAAGCTCTATTTTTATACGCAGTTACCATGGCGACATGTATTTTAGCTAGAATTTCATATGTTGTAGTTTCCTCACTTAAACTAAACACTTTATCCACATTAGTCGTTATGAATCCTCAATTTCTGTTTCTTTTCCTCTTGCATTTCTTGATGACATATCTACATATACATCCACTGAAGCACATAACATATAAATATGTAATGAAAAATCTCGAGAAGTTTCTGGATAATAGCTTCTACAAATTATTTCTTGAAATGTCTGCTGATCCTCAGATAATAAGACGAATTTCTTTCTGTTTGTATGACTTTTATTTGAATAAGTCTCATTAGATAAATATATTTACGGCAAAAGACGTAGCACATTCAATATAATATAAATAATATTATATATGAATATAAGTATACATCTAAACGCGTACCAATGTAATCAAGGAAACGGAGAGAAAAAGCAGAGAAACTGAAGAAAAAGGCGATAAAAGAATAAAAACATTGGTTCAAACTGACATTGACCAGAAGTGAAAAGTCAAAAGCATTAAAACATTTGATAATGCAGTTCCACAGAATGTTGTCCCTACAAATTTTAACTCCAAAAATCAAGAAAAAATTAGTAAACTAACTATTTCATATAATCTTTACATTCACTTTATTATTTTCATGAATATTATGTTATATGTACATTATCACATAACATGATATTACATTTGTTTATATAAACTTTTTTTTCAACTCTTTTTACTATCTGGTTAGTCTAAATAATTGGATTCTAAATAATTATACTTTTATGCGTAGCTTTTTTTTTTTAATTTTAGTTAAAAGGCGTTGAACAGAAATTTATATTTTTATGAATTAAATAATTCATAAATTATAAACAAAATTTTAGCAAATAAAATTTAAAAAATAATTTCTCTAATGAGGTACGTTTATAAATTATGTAAACTATTATCCTCCATGATCACGAACTTAACATTATCAATTTACTGAAATTTTTTTTTGTTTTATACATAATTTTAATATTCTACTTTTATAATAATTAATTCACACTGACTTGTAATTTTTGATAATTTGTCATTATTATTTTAGAAACTAAATCCTTTTGAATTAGAGTTATAAGTTGGTATTCAATAAAAAATAGTTGTGTATATATAAAAATGCATAAATGAATTGTAAATGTATTGATATAGAAAATATGGAAAATATAATTATTTACCGTATCAGAAAAATAATCATGCTCCATCCTTTTCAAAAAAATATTCATATAGAAAAGATATTAGTTATTTTTCTCAAAATAATTTTTACACATTTAATATATAATATCATTTTTATAAATTTGATGTATTAGAAAACTTTCTAAATCTATATTATTTTATAACTTCATGTTATATATACTTTCGATCCACGAAATATTGTATATAAATATAATATTATTTACATCTTTCACAATAAAGCAACAAAACAAAAAATCATCCCTCTATAATTATTTATTTGGCCCAATTAACTATTAATTAATTATGTGGATAAATTAAAATTTTAACGAAACAATCTCAAGAAGTTAAGTTGAAGTGATCTGAAAAAGCAAATAGAATAAGTAAATAGACATTGTGTTCATTCAATTTAATTGAATGTGAAAAATTCTATTATTATTGTTATTAAATTGCTCATTGTTATTAAATGACTGAAAAGGCCACATATGCCTATATAATAATCATAAGAACAATTATTCACTCGAAATCTCAATTGCGAATTCGGCATAATATATACGAGCGGCTTTATAGCATTGGCAAAAATAGATATTGACAGGAGATCAAGCATTTATCAATTTCGTTCCGCACTTTTTAAATAGTTGTCGGTTTCAAGTGTTACGTACAGCACGCAATTGAAACATTGAAGCGAGTGTCGAAAAAAAAAGACAAGAGTTGCGTCGCCGTCGCGTTCTGATCCACCCTCGGCGCAGCCTCTCCTTCACCGGCGCCATTGCCGCCGTCGCCGCCGCCGCCGCCATCTCCCTCGATGCGCATAGTAGCAGCCACTCACACCCGACGATCGCGACCCAACGACGTTTATACCTCAGTTGTCTGCCGGCGACTATCGAGCAAGGAAGTGGTGCGTGCTTCACGCCCGCGTTCTCGAGTTGTACGCGCGCATAACGGTGAGAGCACGTGTAGCCCTTTGTGCCAGACGAAAGTAGAGCAGTCGTCTTCGTGTGGCAAAGATGCCTCGGGCCAACCGCGGTACAGACTGAGTCTACCCAAACTCGTAATCAAAGGACGAAGGATAATGTTAGGCGCGGCAGCTTCGAGTACAATACCGATATGTTGAGTCGATTGGTGTTTTAAAAGTGAGAGTGACTCCACCCCCGACAACGAGATACCGTCCTCTTGTGACTCCTGTGACTGCCACCGATCTCTTTCGACTGCTATTTCTCTTTGTTTGTGTATGTTTTGTGCGGTTGCCCGTGTGTGTGTGCGCGCGACACGAGAGAAATATTCGAAGATTAAGGTCGACGGCCGGCGGCGCCATCGAGCTCGGGAGTCTGCTCGTCTACGTCTCGCTGCAAATAGGTAAGTGCTCCTCCCGTTGATACTGCGGAACATCATGGGCTTCCCCTGGGTATGGGTGCAACCCTCGACCTTGCTTAAAGTTCTTAACAGAATCGTCGGCGAACCCGGGAGTACATGATGGAAGAATTTATTGATATAAATGACGATATAAAATATGGTGTATAAATCGTTCGCAATCTGATACTCATTATTAAAAGCCCAGAATATAATAATAAATGGTTTCTTATCATTTTTGCCATCAAAGATTTAACACAATTAGATTTCGCTTTATATGTATCATAATTCTTCAAAAATGTCAATACTATAATCAATACGTGTATAAATAATTACCACAGTTTACAATTATTTTTAATAAAATCTGCACTTTTAGTTCTATGTGTTGTGTCATTAGCATTTCTTATCATACGATTTTATCGTCGATGAATGCGACAATGATTTATAATTGGCTTTTAATACTGGCAATTACAAATAGAATCAAATATAAGCATAAGTGATAAAACTTTACATATTGAAAGTAGCTTTAAAAATTAGATTAGTCAATTGATAAAAGATTATAATAAAATATTTATAATCGATATTTATGTGTTAAATATCAATCTATTTAAACAATATTTCTTAATGGAATATACAAAATGTAGAGATAAAAACATGTAAACTATGAATTACGTATGGTCGAAGTATCTTGACTAAAAATTTCTGTTTTAATAAATAGTAAATATTTTCAATAAGTTCATTCTAAAAACTGACCTTTTAAAATATTTTTTTATTATTCGCAAAAGGTATCACACAGAATGACTTAAAGAAAAGAATTATATAACATACTTATAACTATTTGTATATATTTTTTAATTTTTTTCTTGTCTTTCTCTCTCTCTCTCTCTCTCTCTCTCTTTTATTTTATGTGTGAGAATATTACAGGCAAATACGGAGTGGAATAAAACTTAGATATCTGTTAACTCTTATTTTAGTTTTATATACTGAATAGGCATATAAATATGTCTTCATTGATGAGTTATGTTAGATTCTCAAATAGGTTATTAAAATAAAATATCCTGTCCTTATCGTAGTAAATATCACTATAAATACCACTGTTTACTTCTTATACAAAAATTATAAAGCTGATTTTATTATTTTTTTTTTATTTTATAGGATTTATAAAAGTAATGATAGCATAAAAGCATAAAACATAAAATAAAAACTTTATCAAACATAAAAATTGAAATACAAAATTTCTAAAAAATACAAAAATTTCTAGAAAATTAAATATGAATTAAGTAAATAAATATTTAAGATTCTTTTATTTTATTCATTGTCTCTACATCCACTATGTATGATAGGTAAAATATTTCTAATTATATATTGAGCTAATCAAATTATTACAATATGTACGCGTTTTACGCATTTAATCATTAAAATATAAGATAATTCTTGGATAATTATTTAAAAACGGAAATTTGAGAACAACGGAAACATCCCCATCTATCGTTTAAAAATTAAAAAAAATCTTTTCCATATGACGCGAGATTGTTTTGATACAACTTTGAAAAACTCTTAATTTATAAAAGTATATCGAGCTCAATTTTAGCGCGTCTATTATGTTTTTTTAATCATATTTTATTTTACAAAATGGCATTTAAAAAGTCGTACTATCGTAATCAAAGAGGGAGTAAATTAGAGATGCTACAATGAAGAACGGCAAGTATCGTTAATGTTCCAAAGGCTGATATTAATAATTAAAATAAAGAAAAGTAATCTTTATGTAACTTTACAGATAAATAAAATAAAATTATAAATTAAATGGAAATGTCATAATATATCGAATACAATACAATGTAATATAACACAAATCAAAAAATTGCAAGATATTTTTTCCTTTTGTAGAGATAACAAAATGTCATTTCAAACATATACTTAATTAAAGATAAGATATAATATAATAAAAATAATATGTAAAAGATTAATATTTATCTTAACATAAATATATAATATAAAAACTACCAGCTCTTGAAATTTAGATGGTTTATTAAAATGTTACCTGATGATATTTTTCAAGTTATATACATCGATTATAACATATAGAATAAATTACAAGCTTTATAATAATATTATAGTATAATTTTAAATTATTTTTTATAATATTCATTGAATCTTATAGCTAAAGATGTTAGAGCTTATGCTAAATAGCTTAAAGCTGTAGTCAGCATCCATAATTTTATTAAGACATAATATTATAAGATTGATGTTCAAAAAAGTTAATATATGATATATATTAAATGTATTTTCGTATCGCTTGAATGATTACAAATCCTTATGTTAATCATTATATCTAGGTTATATTATGGTTTGATTCATACTTTATATTTTTAGTTCTATAATTACTGAATGAATCCCACAATTGTTCGTAAAGGAAAAATAATTTTTTCTAATGAAATCGAGAAATTGATAATTATTGCTTAATATAATTCCTAACTATATAATAATTGATACAATAACCATGTATATCTATCTTTAATTTCCCAAGGAATATCGAGAAATTATTAATATAAATCATGCAGCATACGTTAATTACATGATTTTAAAGAAATAAATAAATTTTCCAAAGATTTTGAAGTTTTAATAGATTATTCTACATAAACTTTAGATTCAATGTAAGAACTTTTAATCTAATAACTTAATATATTCTCTTGAATTCAAGAAATTTTTTTATAAGTCTCTAGAATTGTTTAGAAAAATAAAGTCTTAAACTTTGAAATGAATTAACTATAGTTTTAATAATTTGCTTGATTTCAACATTAATTATAAATTTTGTTAAATTCTAGTTTTTATATAAAATGTTCCCAAGTTATATTACCGCGAGGGAAAAACTTAAATAGTTAGAATATCTAATTCACTATTTATGTATTTTTATCGAATAATCAAGATTAACAGAATCATTACAGAAAAATAATAATATTAAGTATTATATTAATATTACTATGAAAACACAATTAATTATTAATTCACAGTATGCCGTTTATTTTTTAATTAAATTTTGTAAATTTAAGTAAATTTTAATTTTATATCTATGTGAAAGTAAAAACTTTTTTAAAAATGCCGTAATAACACTGTAAAAAACGTTCATTGCAAATAGAAATATTTACGCGAAAGCATATATATATATATATATATATATATATATATATATTCAAATATGGAAAAATTACATACTTGGCTAATCATTTGTAAAATTCTATTAAATAATAAGGATTATCGCTTAGGAAGATATATAAATCTAATCGCATTCTCCGCTTCTGCGTAAACTTCTATGTGGAAATTGAAATAATGAATATTGCAGTAATTTTAGTAGCGTTCAAAGATCAATTCAATACCGACTAAAATTGTACCATACAATAATATATATATATATATATATATGATTTTTAAACTCATAATGGAATGTATAAATCTAAATTTAATTTATGACTTGTATCTTTAATAATCTTCAATTTTATGAAATAATAATACAAATTCCAAAACAATATGCAATTAAGAAAAAGATAGGTTAAAAAATGAATAATACAAATATGTTCATTTAAAAAGACTTATATAAACCATAAAATATTTTGTTTTTTTTTTTAATTTTATATTAAACTTAATTGTTTGCTTGACATTACTTTTATTCATAAAACTAACAAAAAAAATATATCTACGTTATTATTAAAATCATTACGTAAATCAAGAAATTTTAATTAAATATTTTATAATATTATAACGAAAAATTACAATTTATGACATTAATAATATTTACAAAAAATAAATAGCTTAATAACATATATTAAAACATACACATACCTGATTAAATTTAAACAATTTAAATATACCATTCGTTTTATTTTACTATTAGTTTTTACATAAAAACCGTTTCCATTGAACTACACACACGAATTATTACTTTACACACTTTTTTTATAAATTGAATATTTATTAATACAATAAAAAAAAAAGTATCGGCGGTAATATTACATATCTTCAAAATTTGTAGTAAATGTATTGAATGTATTGTATAAAAATGTAGTAAATGTATTGAATGTATTGAATAAAAATGTAATCGAATGAAAAGAATTTCTATCATTCCTAGAATAAAAATTATTATATTATATTCAAATTCACAGTTAAGAAAATATTTAAATTATTTATTAATTTAATGGATTATATTATAATTTTTTAGTTTTATAAGATCGATTATTTTAAAATTTTATAAACTTTTGGAAAAAATAATGAATATAGTAACTATAATTTACCAGACAATCCATATAAAGTGAGAAGGTCAATAAGTTATTCCCAGAATGAAACATGTGTAATATGACACCATTGAGCAACAGCTTCCTTATCGATGAACTTGACAGCTTACATACGTGTTTACAGACCATAATTAAAACGCATCAACGCTGCAAGTAAAACAATGAAAACAATGCTATACGTACTCAAAAACAGTTAGAACGAAGAAGGCGGAAATACAATATCAACATACAACAACAAAATCGAGGAAACGCCCATAACCTGTAAACGAACGCATACGGCGAATACAATCTGAAGGAAAAAAAGAATGATGTTATTATCTCCAAGGTCATTGCCGTCTCGGGATCATGAATTATCAGATGTAAACACATCTTAGAACTTTAATGTAATCGAAAAATTATATATGTACAAATGATAAAACAAAACCACCAAAATTGCATACCTGCAAAACCGAGGCATGAGAACCGCACACATGAGAAGCAATAATTATAATGATACCGTATTTAAAGTAAGGCCGTTTATATAATTGTAAATTAAATTTTAATTTTGTCATACTTATTAGAGACATAAATGTTTCAAGTGTTAACCTGTATATTATAAGTTCGATCGCATAATTCAGAACTTATATTAATTTGACAGATGTATTATACGATTTAAGGATAGGTAATATTCTTTAATATTATCTTTATTTTTAAATTTTCATGAAATATATGAAAATTTCC